TTAGAGGTATTGGGAAGATGGAGGGAATATTTTGAGGAATTGTTAAATGTTGATGAAGATAGGGAAGCTGTGATTTCGTGTATAGGGCAAGGAGGAACAACATCTTGTAGGAGTGAGGAAGAGCCAGTTGTGAGTGTGGGGGAAGTTTGTGAGGCAGTAGGTAAAAATGAAAGGGGTAAGGCAGCCGGGATTGATGGGATAAAGATAGAAATGTTAAAAGCAGGTGGGGATATAGTTTTGGAGTGGTTGGTGCAATTATTTAATAAATGTATGGAAGAGGGTAAGTACCTAGGGATTGGCAGAGAGCATGCATAGTTCCTTTGTATAAAGGCAAAGGGGATAAAAGAGAGTGCAAAAATTATAGGGGGATAAGTCTGCTGAGTACACCTGGTAAAGTGTATGGTAGAGTTATTATTGAAAGAATTAAGAGTAAGACGGAGAATAGGATAGCAGATGAACAAGGAGGCTTTAGGAAAGGTAGGGGGTGTGTGGACCAGGTGTTTACAGTGAAACATATAAGTGAACAGTATTTAGATAAGGCTAAAGAGGTCTTTGTGGCATTTATGGATTTGGAAAAGGCGTATGACAGGGTGGATAGGGGGGCAATGTGGCAGATGTTGCAGGTGTATGGTGTAGGAGGTAGGTTACTGAAAGCAGTGACGAGTTTTTACGAGAATAGTGAGGCTCAAGTTAGAGTATGTAGGAAAGATGGAAATTATTTCCCAGTAAAAGTAGGCCTTAGACAAGGATGTGTGATGTCACCGTGGTTGTTTAATATATTTATAGATGGGGTTGTAAGAGGAGTAAATGCGAGGGTCTTGGCAAGAAGCGTGGAGTTAAAAGATAAAGAATCACACATAAAGTGGGAGTTGTCACAGTTGCTCTTTGCTGATGACACTGTGCTCTTGGGAGATTCTGAAGAGAGGTTGCAGAGATTGGTGGATGAATTTGGTAGGGTGTGCAAAAGAAGAAAATTGAAAGTGAATACAGGAAAGAGTAAGGTTATGAGGATAACAAAAAGATTAGGTGATGAAAGATTGGATATCAGATTGGAGGGAGAGAGTATGGAGGAGGTGAATGTATTCAGGTATTTGGGAGTGGACGTGTCAGCGGATGGATCTATGAAAGATGAGGTGAATCATAGAATTGATGAGGGAAAAAGGGTGAGTGGTGCACTTAGGAGTCTGTGGAGACAAAGAACTTTGTCCTTGGAGGCAAAGAGGAGAATGTATGAGAGTATAGTTTTACCAACCTCTTTTATGGGGGGTTAAAGCATGGGTGATGAATGTTGCAGCGAGGAAAAGGGTGGAGGCAGTGGAGATGTCATGTCTGGGGGGCAAGTGTGGTGTGAATATAATGCAGAGAATTCGCATTTTGGAAGTTAGGGGAGGGGGCGGGATTACCAAAACTGTTGTCGAGAGGGCTGAGGAAGGGTTGTTGAGGTGGTTCGGGACATGTAGAGAGAATGGAGCGAAACAGAATGACTTCAAGAGTGTATCAGTCTGTAGTGGAAGGAAGGCGGGGTAGGGGTGGGGGCCTAGGAAAGGTTGGAGGGAGGGGTAAAGGGGAGGTTTTGTGTGCGAGGGGCTTGGATTTCCCAAGCAGGCATGCGTGAGCGTGTTTCATAGGGTGAATGGGGGACAAATGGTTTTTTAATAGTTGACGTGCTGTTGGAGTGTGAGCAAAGTAACATTTATGAAGGGGTTCAGGGAAACCGGCAGGCCGGACTTGAGTCCTGGAGATGGGAAGTACAGTGCCTGCACTCTGAAGGAGGGGTGTTAATGTTGCAGTTTAAAAACTGTAGTGTAAAGCACCCTTCTGGGAAGACAGTGATGGAGTGAATGATGGTGAAAGTTTTTCTTTTTCGGGCCACCCTGCCTTGGTGGGAATCGGCCAGTGTGATAATAAAAAAAAAATATATAACCTTTTACACTGTTTTGTCAGTATCTATCTTACCATCTATCTTACCAAGCTCTCTTGCCATCTATCTCACATCTATCCGTATGATTTTTGTTGTTGAAGGCTGGTAAGCATTACATGTATCAGTGTTGTTGAAGGCTGGTAAGCATTACATGTATCAGTGTTGTTGAAGGCTGGTAAGCATTGCGTGTACCAGTGTTGTTGAAGGCTAGTAAAGAAATTTCATGTACCAGTGTTGTTGAAGGGCTGGTAAGGCATTACGTGTTCCAGTGTTGTTTAAGGTGGTAAGCATTACGTGTACAAGTGTTGTTGAAGGCTGGTAAGCATTACGTGTACCAGTGTTGTTGAAGGCTGGTAAGCATTACGTGTACCAGTGTTGTTGAAGGCTGGTAAGCATTACGTGTACCAGTGTTATTAAAGGCTGGTAAGCATTACGTGTACCAGTGTTGTTGAAGGCTGGTAAGCATTACGTGTACCAGTGTTGTTGAAGGCTGGTAAGCATTACATGTACCAGTGTTGTTGAAGGCTGGTAAGCATTACATGTGCCAGTGTTGTTGAAGGCTGGTAAGCATTACGTGTACCAGTGTTGTTGAAGGCTGGTAAGCATTACATGTATCAGTGTTGTTGAAGGCTGGTAAGCATTACGTGTACCAGTGTTGTTGAAGGCTGGTAAGCATTACATGTGCCAGTGTTGTTGAAGGTTGGTAAACATTACGTGTACCAGTGTTGTTGAAGGCTGGTAAACATAACGTGTACCAGTGTTGTTGAAGGCTGGTAAGCATTACATGTACCGTGTTTTTTGAAGGCTGGTAAGCATTACGTGTACCAGTGGGTTTTTGAAGGCTGGTAAGCATTACGTGTACCAGTGTTGTTGAAGGTGGTAAGCATTTTCATGTACCAGTGTTGTTGAAGGCTGGTAAGCATTACATGTACCATGTTGTTGAAGGTGGTAGCATTACGTGTACCAGTGTTGTTGAAGGCTGGTAAGCATTACGTGTACCAGTGTTGTTGAAGGCTGGTAAGCATTACGTGTACCAGTGTTGTTGAAGGCTGGTAAGCATTACATGTACCAGTTTTTGTTTTAAGGGGTGGTAAAACATACGTGTACAAGTGTTGTTGAAGGCTGGTAAGCATTACGTGTACCAGTGTTGTTGAAGGCTGGTTAAGCATTCATGTGCCAGTGTGTTTGAAGGTGGTAAGCATTACATGTGGCCAGTGTTTTTGAAGGTTGGTAAACAAATTTCATGTACCAGTGTTGTTGAAGGCTGGTAAGCATTACATGTTTCCAGTGTTGTTGAAGGCTGGTAAGCATTACGTGTACCAGTGTTGTTGAAAGGGTGGTAAGCATTTACGTGTACCAGTGTTGTTTAAGGCTGGTAAGCATTACATGTACCAGTGTTGTTGAAGGATGGTAAGCATTAAATGTACCAGGTTCTGGGTTTAAGGCTGGTAAGCATTACATGTAACCAGTGCTGTTGAAGGCTGGTAAGCATTTACATGTACCAGTGTTGTTGAAGGCTGGTAAGCATTACATGTACCAGTGTTGTTGAAGGCTGGTAAGCATTACGTTTTACCAGTGTTGTTGAAGGCTGGTAAGCATTACGTTGTACAGTGTTGTTGAAGGTGGTAAGCATTACATGTACAGTGTTGTTGAGGCTGGTAAGCATTACATGTTACCAGTGCTGTTGAAGGCTGGTAAGGGATTACATGTACCAGTGCTGTTGAAGGCTGGTAAGCATTTCATGTTTCCAGTGTTGTTGAAGGCTGGTAAGCATTACATGTACCAGTGTTGTTGAAGGCTGGTAAGCATTACGTGTACCAGTGTTGTTGAAGGCTGGTAAGCATTAACGTGTACCTGTGGTTTTTGAAGGCTGGTAAGCATTACGTGTACCAGTGTTGTTGAAGGTGGTAGCATTACGTGTACCAGTGTTGTTGAAGGCTGGTAAGCATTACGTATACCAGGTGTTGTTGAAGGTGGTAAGCATTACATGTACCAGTGTTGTTGAAGGGGTGGTAAGCATTACATGTACCAGTGTTGTTGAAGACTGGTAAGCATTACGTTTCAGTGTTGTTGAAGGCTGGTTTAAGCATTACGTGTACCAGTGTTGTTTAGGCTGGTAAGCATTACATGTACCAGTGTTGTTGAAGGCTGGTAAGCATTACATGTTACCCGTGTTGTTGTAGGGCTGGTAAGCATTTACATGTTACCGTGTTGTTGAAGGTGGTAAGCATTTTCATGTACAGTGTTGTTGAAGGCTGGTAAGCATTAAAAGTACCAGTGTTGTTGTAGGCTGGTAAGCATTACGTGTACCAGTGTTGTTGAAGGCTGGTAAGATTACGTGTACCAGTGTTGTTGAAGGCTGGTAAGCATTACGTGTACCAGTGTTGTTGAAGGCTGGTAAGCATTACGTGTACCAGTGTTGTTGAAGGCTGGTAAGCATTACGTGTACCAGTGTTGTTGAAGGCTGGTAAGCATTACGTGTACCAGTGTTGTTGAAGGCTGGTAAGCATTACATGTACCAGTGTTGTTGTAGGCTGGTAAGCATTACGTGTACCAGTGTTGTTGAAGGCTGGTAAGCATTACATGTACCAGTGTTGTTGAAGGCTGGTAAGCATTACGTGTACCAGTGTTGTTGAAGGCTGGTAAGCATTACATGTACCAGTGTTGTTGAAGGTGGTAAGCATACGTGAAACCAGTGTTGTTGAAGGCTGGTAAGCATTACGTGTACCAGTGTTGTTGAAGGCTGGTAAGCATTACGTGTACCAGTGTTGTTGAAGGCTGGTAAGCATTACGTGTACCAGTGTTGTTGAAGGCTGGTAAGCATTACGTGTACCAGTGTTGTTGAAGGCTGGTAAGCATTACGTGTACCAGTGTTGTTAAAGCTGGTAAGCATTTACGTGTCCCAAGTGTTGTAGAGGCTGGTAAGAAATTACGTGTACCAGTGTTGTTGAAGGGTGGTAAGCATTACGTGTACCAGTGTTGTTGAAGGCTGGTAAGCATTACGTGTACCAGTGTTGCTGTCGTCCTCACTCACACACATCGTCACTTATATATTTCCCTCTTTGTCTTTTTCTTTCAGAAATTATGCAGAGTGTTGAGACGGTTGACCATGACGAACAGATGACGCTGTCTCGAAGCTCCGCCCCTGCGGACGTCTCTCCACCAATCACCTGCCCGAACCGGGCTTCCCTCCCAGCCAATACCTCTCCCATTATATCCTCCCCTCCTGTTATATCCCCTTCCATCGCCTCTCCTCCGCCATTAACCGCACAGATCTCACCCTACCTAACATCCAGGTCTAACTTGAAAGCTACCTCAACATTGCTGCAGCTGGAGAAACAAGTGAGCCTCGCTAATAAGCTAAAGTTAGGGAAGGTGGTGGGCAACCATGCCCACCCTGCCTGTAATGTGCAGTCCTCGCTGATTGGCGGAGATGAGGACGAGGGGCGGAGCGACATACGGGTTCTCTCGCCCTCATTGGTCAACAGCCAGGTGTTGTCCAAGACACGCCCACTCTCCCCTGACCCGCCCGACACGCCCGTCACCACACTACACAACGGTGACAGGTAAGTCTTCCGGGTCACAATATTGATCATCTGTATTTCCGGGTGATGAGGGAGGGGTTGGTCCTCTTTTTTTCTGGGTCACAAGGGGGAGGGTTTGGTCCTCTTTATTTCCGGGTTATAAGGGGGGTCCTCTTTATTTCTGGGTCACAAGGGGGTTTGGTCCTCTTTATTTCCGGGTCACAAGGAGGTTAGTCCTCTATTTTCGAGTCATGGGAGATTGGTCCTCTTTATTTCTGGGTCACGGGAGGTTGGTCTCTTTATTTCCGGGTCACTAGGGGGTCTTCTTTATTTCCAGGTCACATTGTGTTTATATTCTATTTCGTCACATGGTGTTTATACTCTTTATTTCCGGGTCACATAGTGTTTATGCTCATTTCTGTGACACAAGGGCTTGGAGGGTTATAGGTGTTGGTATTCTTTATCTCCGGGTATCCCGGTATCCCTGGCAGTTATAGGTGAGTATCTGTGTGGTAATATCTCTAGTAGTAGTAGCCCTGGAGATGGTATCCCTGACGTTACTATACCTGATGGTGGTATCCCTGATGATAGATTTATAGGTGAATGTCCCTGGTGGTAGTATCCCTAATGGTAATATCCCTAGTGGTAATATCCCTGGTGGTAGTAGCCTTGGTGGTGGTATCCCTGATGGTAGATTATAGGTGAATATCCCTGTTGTAGTAACTCTAGTGGGAGTATCCCTGGTGGTAGTAACTCTAGTGGGAGTATCCCTGGTGGAATGGTATCCCTGGTGGTAATATCCCTAGTGGGATGGTATCCCTCATGGTAGTATCCCTGGTGGTATAGTATCCCTAGTAGTAATATCCCTGATGGTAGTATCCCTGGTGGTATGGTATCCCTAGTAGTAGTATCCCTTTTAGCAGTATCTCTGGTGGTAGTATCCCTGATGGTAGATTTACAGGTAAGTATCCCTGGCAGTGTTGTTGTATTAGTCATTAATTGTCTCCCGGTACTAGATACAGGTTAATGATGATTCTTAGCAAGATTCATCACTATCATCACTACTTAATTTGTGAGAGTCAGCAGCCACACCACCCACTGCCAGACCAGCAGTAACATCAGAAGATATTGCTATAATGTGGTACATGCAAGCAACTGATGACGTCTTCAGACAAGGCGAAAGGCCCTTCGTGAATGTTAGGTAGATTAAGCGAGAGGTAAAGACTGAGAGTTGGCCGAGTTTAATGGTCAAATTGAAGGTCAACTCTATCAAAAGTGTCCCGTAGCTCGATTGCTAGTGCACTTGGCTCACAAATTAAGGTCCGTGGTTCGACTCATGGTACGGGTGGAAACCTTAAAACACCTGCCGTTCATGTTCACCTGGTCAGATCACTGACACTGATAAGGAAATGTGTGAAATTTTCAATACCTATTTCCTCTCAGTTTTTACTCAGGAAAATACAAGCGAAATTCCAGAAATAATAAATTATGTAGAACAGGATGATAAACTATGTACGATTGTGGTAACTAGTGACATGGTCCTCAGACAGAGAAATTATAATCTAACAAATCCCCAAGTCCTGATGAACTGTTTGCAAGGGTGTTAAAGGAATGTAAAGAGGAACTTAGCAAATCTTTGGCTAACCTTTTCAACATATCACTACAAACTGGCATAGTGCCTAATAGGTGGAAAATGGCAAATGTAATACCTATTTACAAGGCAGGTGACAGGTCCTTAGCTTCGAACTCGAGACCAATAAGTCTTACCCCCATAGCGGGAAAATTTATGGAATCAATAATTGCCGAAGCAATTCTTAGCCATCTTGATAGGTACAGATTGATTAATGAATCTCAACACGGTTTTACAAAGGGGCGTTCCTGTCTTACGAATTTACTAACTTTTTTCACTAAGGTGTTTAAGGAAGTAGATCATGGTAATGAATATGATATTGTGTATATGGACTTCAGTAAGGCTTTCGATAGAGTTCCACACCAGAGACTATTGAGGAAACTTAAGGCGCACGGAATAGGAGGATAAATTTTTTCCTGGGTAGAGGCATGGCTGACAAATAGACAGCAGAGAGTTTGCATAAATGGGGAGAAATCAGAATGGGGGCACGTCACAAGCGGTGTTTCACAAGGGTCAGTGTTGGGCCCCTTGTTGTTCACAATTTATATAAACGACATAGATGAGGGAATAAATAGCGAAATAAGCAAATTTGCTGATGACACCAAAGTAGGCCGTCCAATTCATTCTAATGAGGACACTAGATCACTCCAGGATTATTTGAATAGACTGATGCAGTGGTCGGAGAAGTAGCAGATGCAGTTTAATATAGACAAATGCAAAGTTGTAAATGTTGGACAGGACAATAACCATGCCACATATAAACTAAATAATGCAGATCTTAATATTACGGATTGCGAAAAAGATTTAGGAGTTCTGGTTAGCAGTAATCTGAAACCAAGACAACAGTGCATTAGTGTTCGCAATAAAGCTAACAGAATCCTTGGCTTCATATCCAGAAGTATAAACAACAGAAATCCTCAGGTTCTTCAACTCTATATATCCTTGGTTAGGTCTCATTTAGACTATGCTGCTCAGTTCTGGTCACAGTATTACAGAATAAATATAAATGCTCTGGAAAACGTAGAGGAGGATGACAAAGATGATCCCATGTATCAGAAATCTTCCCTATGAGGATAGACTGAGGCCCTGAATCTGCACTCTCTCGAAAGGCGTAGAATTAGGGGGGATATGATCGAGGTGTATAAATGGAAAACAGGAATAAATAAAGGGGATGTAAATAGTGTGCTGAAAATATCTTACCTAGACAGGACTCGCAGCAGTGGTTTTAAGCAAAAAAAAATTGAGATTGAGGAAGGATTAGGAAAACTGGTTTGGTTAAAAGAGTTGGGATGAGTGGAAAAACTCCCCGGGGTACCCTCATAGAAGCTAAGAGTTTTGGGGTTTTAAAAAAAGGTTAGATAAAATACATGGTGGGGTGTGGGTGGGGGAGTTGGCCCGCTAGCTGGTGCTTATGGGGCGATCCCTGCTCCTTCCTTAATGGAGGGGACCTGCTGGTTGGGGCCCTTGGTCTAAGCCGAGGGGTGACGGCGTGCCCCCCATGGCCCGTAGGCCCGCTGCAGTTTCCCTTTTTTCTTTCTTATGTTATGTGTTGTCGACTGGTATGGGTCGCATCCTGAGGGGGCAAAACCTAATTTTCCCGAAATGCTGTACGTAAAAAGGTTTTCTTTCTATAAGTGTGTCCCGGGCAGCTTGATCTGTAACCTTGTACTTGTAGAAATAAAGATTTTTTAAAGGGAGGAGACGTATCTGGAAATTGAGGTCAGAGGTGGAAAGTGGGGTTAAAAATGTGGTAGCGTGGGGTCACAGGTGTGTAACAGGTTAAAATGGTTCCATATAAGTACGTCTTGAATGGTTCATGCAGGTAAACTCACTAATATGGACGAGAGTGAGAGCGAGAAGTGGAACAGGGCTCGATACGGCACAAGCTGCCAGTGGCCCCTAACCCACAACAAGAAAGATACGGCACAAGCTGCCAGTGGCCCCTAACCCACAACAAGAAAGATACGGCACAAGCTGCCAGTGGCCCCTAAAAACCCACAAAAAAGAAAAGAAAACGGCACAAGCTGCCCGTGGGCCCCTAACCCACAACAAGAAAGATACGGGGACAAGCTGCCAGTGGCCCCCAACCACAACAAAAAAGATACGGCACAAGTTTGCCAGTGGCCCCTAACCCAAACAAGAAAAGATACGGCACAAGTTGCCAGTGGCCCCTAACCCACAACAAGAAAGATACGGCACAAGTTGCCAGTGGCCCCTAACCCACAACAAGAAAGATACGGCACAAGCTGCCAGTGGCCCCTAACCCACAAGAAAGATACGGCACAAGCTGCCAGTGGCCCCTAACCCACAACAAGAAAGATACGGCACAAGCGGGCCAGTGGCCCCTAACCCACAACAGAAGATACGGCCCCAAGCTCCAGGGCCCCTAAACCCCACAACAAGAAAGTACGGCAAGCTGGCCAGAGGCCTTAAAAACCCACAACAAGAAAGAGCGGCACGGGCTGCCAGAGGCCTTTTATAAACCCCAAACAAAAAGACGTCATACTAGCTGCCACCAATAAACCCACAGTAACAAAATGGATGTAAGCCCATACTAATATTAAAAACATTGCCCCAAAAATACATTAACCCATACTCAACCTTAAAACCTTCCCCCCCTCGTATACGTTCGGTGTGCTGTGCCCCTTGGAAACAAGTGCACGTACCTGTGTCCACAAATCAAAAAAACTCTGGAAAACATGAATTAGATGAGAGGTTTGTTTCATTTTTTGGGTTTTGGTCGAGTATGACGGGGAATAGGGGGAAGCACTTTCATCTAAATTTGTGAGGGAGAGAGGGATCAAGAAGAGAAAGACTCTTACAAGGCTTCTTAGTCCAGGATAAACCCTACAAAAAAGCCAAGTAGTGTGGCTTCTTTCCAACGAAGTCTTTCCACCCCTCACCAGGATGCTACCCACACCAGCAAACTAATTCCTAGATATCAGTTTACTTTTAGGTAAAGGGGTACAATTTACTTCTTTAGTCCGTACTTTAGGAAATAAAGTATTCTGGACTCGTGGTTAACAGGTGGTATGTAGCCATAATGACCTTCTTGTAACAGACAGAGTTTAAACCCCATTAAAAGGGGCAGCAGGTGTGAGATTTGATAAGTGTTCAGTCCCTTAACCTTCTTAAGTAGCAGCAATATCAGGTCCAGGACCTAACTGATTCATATTCATTCCCCGGACCGCATGTTATCACACCTAGGTGCAGAGGTCGATGTTTAGGAGATGAAATGTTTAAATGTTTAGGTTAATGCAGTAAGGTAACTCACAGCTTAAGGTCAGTGCTACAAGATAACTCAGTTTAAGGTCAGTGACACAAGATAATTTACAGTCAGTGGGGGACCTACATTTTTGGGGCCCTGAAGCGTGAACTGTTATGGGGGCTCCAGTGGTTTCTGGGGCCCCTC